GGGGGGGGGGGGGGGGCTAGGCTTTAAACCCTCCGCTCGCTATGCAAACACGCAACTGTCTGGCGCGCATTATATATATCATACGAATATATTTGTTTAATTTCTGAGGAAAATTTTGTAATGTAAATAGGTAAATAGGCACTATAAAAGTTCAACCAAAGGTCACGCTTAATCAGAACAGCCTGACGAGAGTTGAATAAAATATATCAATTTTTGGGTCTATCCGCACGTCACCAGACGGTCGGTTTAAATCCTTGCCAAAAACGTGATGTGCTTTCCACAATATGCATGTCGGCTGGTCTATAAACGTGATTTCTGCTAAATACTCTAAATAACACATGACAGCTTAATTGTGTACTTGTGTTTTTTTTTCATATTTAAAACGTGGCATGTGCCAAATATACCTAGTAATGACGCAATTATCTTTTTTTTCGCAAGATGCTTTTCCGTCGCTCCAAACTTCGTCACGCAGTAAAACTACACAGATGTTAATCTGGGAAAATCCCGGCACATGTCTTGTGCAATATCATGTATTTCCTGCATAATTTATGTTCACATGGTTTCTAGAGAATATAATATTTCCTGGCTGTTTTATGCATAATTTATGTTGAGTTAAAATAAAAAAATCGGACAAAAAGGTTTTCCTTTTATGTATATTTTCTGACAAAAAAAACCCGTTTGCGAGAAATACAAGGGTTTTTTTTTTGAGAAATCGAACATCTGACCTAGGATATATTCTTGAGCTTACTCGCGGGTGTTTCTGGACTGACCTCATAGATGGAACTGTATAGAGATTATGTATATAATTACCAATTTCAAAATCTCGACTGCGCATCGGTCTCCCTGTAGCCAAATACGGCTTAAATCAACTTTATGAATGTCAATGTCAATTTTTTTAAAGAATTCGGTCCCACGTGTTGAATGTCGACATTGAATGTGAGGGTCGTAAGGGGTGAAATGGGAGCAGCGATTTGTGGTAATTTGGGGTAAATTGGGATTTCCACCACTGAGAATGGAGATTTCGTAAACCAGTGTGGGTCGACTGACTGGAATTCAGAAGACAAAATTTTCCCTGGAAAAATGGGATTGAAAAACTTCTCTTTGTGATTATTACATTAATAATTCGTAAACCTTGTGGTAAATCATGTCAGCCATAATATGTCACGCGGAGTGACTTTATATCTGATAAAACTCATCTTCATTAGTATTCTTTATATAATTGTTCATCCTAATTAGTATTCTTTTGTAGTCGTATTTTAAGACACTTCTTTTGTAGACATTTCTACTATTCTTTTGTAGTCGTAGATAAAACACTCGTTGTCCTGTTTTATCAGATATAAAACGCTCTGCTGCGCCTCGCGTTTTATATCTGATAAAACACTCCTACTCGTGTTTTAAATAGTACTTAGCGACAAGTCGTAATGCGAACAATGTTACAGGAAGTAAGGTAAACTCGGCAACGTTTCGCATTGTGAAATTCTTGCATTGTGAAACTTTTAATTCACATTTTTGCTGAGTGAAATGCACTGTCGCAACTGCTAAGAAATTATTAGCATATTTTGACAGTTTGATACTTGAAAACAACCAATCGTTTTACGAGTCTTAAATATTGAAATATAATACCAGATAATTTATGTCAAATTCAAACATGATCAATGACAAAGTGTGACATCAATTTAAATTAGGTTTCTTAAACAACCAATCACGATGCGAGTTGAAACTTTGAAACATCATGCAATTATTCCAATTTATGCCATAATTAGACAAATCGCAAGTTATTAAAGTACCGGAAAAAAGTGAAATGTCATAACACACAGAGTAAGGCACAGTGTGCAGAAGTCCAACGAGAAATATTTGAAATAGTTCTAATTTTAATCAAAATGGTTCTAATTGCAGCAGTCCTTGTTGGTGTTATTTCCATAGGGGCATTAGTTTCTGCAGTCGTATCTGGTACAGAACAAATCAAAAAATCGGTAGAGGAAGAAAATAGACGTTCTCAGCCAAATTCTAGACGAGGGTCGGAGTCGAATTCCATGAGTCTCGGATCATTGCTGTTACGGAAATATACGGATGTATATTGAAGAGACGCGAGTCGCATCAGCCGGTTAATGTTTTGAAAAACTGAGCTAGATACTTCAAATGTGAACTTCAGTACATGCTCATATTTCCAATGTAGTTGTATCTGACTCACTGTTCGGGTGTAAATTGAATATATATACGTGAAATTGGAAGACACAAAAGGATCTCAATCTGATCAATATACACCAATCAAATTGTTACGCTTTACGGTTCTGAAAAACAATTTGCCAAATTGGCTGTAATTATAAACGTCTACTTCTAAATCAGTCGATATATTTATCATATCATTGAATAGGCATTTTTCGGAGAATACGTTTAATGAAACATCTGGCAAAACAGCTTACGACTTTTTACCAAACAAACTTTTTACTTTTACGTCTTGAATTCGAATTCGTACAGGTTTAAGATTTGAAAAGGACGCCGTTTTTCGCTTTAGGGCTAATTTGTTTCGGTTGATAGAGTCGCCAACTTGCGTTTGTCGGGAAACTTGAAACATTTGTACTTTGAAACTTTTTTGCCAGGTATTTGGAAAATTTCAAACAACATTTGAAACATTTCTGAAACTCTAAAACACCGTTTTAGCTTTCAAAACATTTACCGGCTGTTGGCAAATATATTCGAGATACATAACCGAACTATATTGCATCTCAACGGTGACTTATCGTCATATCGTGAAAATAACTTTCAACAGAACCAAATAAACTGGTAAACCCTGCTTCAAGCTATCATCAAACTATATGGACCTTCACCTTATATCATTCCTGTTAACGTTCACAATGTAAACTGGTTTAACTGGTTATCGTATGCAACTGAAATGGCTTGGGAACAGAATTTTGGTTTGAAATCATTACCGAAAATAACCAGTTTGTCTCGTTATCGTATGTACAAGAATTTGTTCTAAGACGGCAAACAAAATTTTGGGGCTATGGAATTGGGTTGTCGTTGAAACTTATCGGGACTTGAAATTCAAGTAGATCTCCATAATGAAGCATTGTTTTGTATGCAAAAGTTCACGTGAAAAGACACTTCGGAAAATTCCCAACATGCGTTGGGAAAACACGGGGTCAGGAAGTCATGACAACGTCATCCTTCCAGCTGTGGATAATTATATAAACATATTATATAATAGTATATATAAATATTAAATTGTATAATTTTTACAAATTATAGTGTTCTCTGACTTTGTAAATGAAGAATAGATATTTTTATTCCGGGGGGAGGGAGAGATTTGTAAATAGATTTATATATAACAATGAAATTGGTCGTAAAAAAAAATTAAATATATTATTTTTCGTATGTGAATTGTCTTGAGTATTATTAAACTGCTATGGTATGTGTGATCAATGAACAGTGGCGCCGCCAGCTTGATGATTGGGGGGGGGGGGAGGGGGGCGAATATTCATATCTTCGTGTTCTGCATTTATATAGCCATATTATTAACTTCTTTTGAAATCGATTGTTTTTATGGTCTGTGAACCCAAATATATGAATATTCGCCCCCCCCCCAAGATTGTCGGCCAATCACATTTTACAACATTTTCTTTTCTGCGGAAAATTTTCCTGAGTGGAAATGGGCTTTAATATACCAAGTGGCAAATCAAAAAAAATCAAGAAAACATTGAACTTTGATACTTGCTATACAATAATACGGTTTTGGTTTGTTTGTGTACCCGATCGTGTTTTTGTGAATAATTTCTATATTACCATACCACTTTACCAGCTTACCTGTCTCTGTTCCACCCGAGTAGTTCCATCAAGACGTACATAAAGGTAGCCGTGATAATTGAGAAATCGTTCAAGGACATTCAACATTTTTGTCATCTGAGTGAATATGAGAACCCTATAAGAACAGAGGATTTTTAGTATTTATTATTCAACTTCACTAAACTAACTTCATCAGTTCTCAATTGCTCTTCCAAGAGGTCCAGGCATGGAGAGCCATCTTTGATTGATCCAATGTTATTACAAGGCGACCGGCAATCGCGGTCTAAAATTACCCAAACATTTCCAAGCTACAATACAGGGGAGGATCCAGCTAGATTTGCTGGGGGTGGGGGGTGCTCAACAAGCCTTGGTTATGGTTTGGGGTGTGACCAAGTACAAAATTACTTGAGGGAACTACGGGCAGCATTTTTCTGGGCCTAGGTGGTGGTACTGGTAAAGCTGGTAGGATATTGCCTATTCCAAATGAACCCCTTGTACGCACCAGGAGGGGTGCACAGCCCCACGCAACACCCCCACAATAAATCCATCCCTGTTATAAATGCTGATTCATCCAGGACGCGGATGAATTTCATAAACAGATCACTGGTACAAACCTGTGTTTTTCAGCTTTCAATCTTCTCAATAAAAGATCTAAAGTCTGAAGTTTTCCTGCAAGAAAAAAATACCAACAATTCAAATAAGAGTAAAATAGTTTAGATGATTGCATTGTCAAATTCGCACGAACAAATATTTCCCCACTCAGAGCTTTCAAATCGTCAAACAAATGTCAGAAACACGGACCGAAAGCAACTCATCATTGCAGGACAAAATATGTTGTTCAGTACAGAAGTTGTTATCAACTAAAATGTTATTAGCTCCGGTCAAAGTGACCGGTCAACCACTCGGTCGAATTTTTGACCGGTCATTGATACGCTTACACTAACAGTGAAACAAACTATTAGAAACTTCAAACTTGTTTCGATACATCATAGTTTCATGTTTTAATTCAAGACGTCGGCAATCACATTGGAAGGCATGAAAATGTGGCCGGTCAAAATGACCGGTGAGGTAAAAAAGTGACCGGTCAGGAGGCATTTTTGGCCGGGCATTGTCCGTTGACCAGCCGTTATTTTGTTAACGTCAGAACTGACTACGGTGTCTGCTGATACGAAGTCAAAATAGTTGTCCCTTACCACAGTCGTATTGTATCAGTCGTACTTCGGGGAACTGTAGCAATTGGCCTCGAATGATCGGATGTAATATCTCCAGCTTGTCAGAGAGTTCAGATTGTAAACGTTCCTCGATCCGTTTCTGTCTTGCGAGGTAGGATGGTGGGGGATGACAGGTATGCATGTGGATACGTTGGGATGTTACGGACGGGATTGCAAACACAAACCTAACGGAAGAAGAAATGAAAATTGAAATAAACTCAGGAAATGTCTGTAGAGAACGTCACCAAGCCAGAGCCATGCACGTCTGAAACTTTATTCATATACTGCATGGCTCTACCAAAACTGTTCTTTCTAGAGGTATAGTAAGGACCATCCCTTGTTGGTTTAGTGACTGTGTTGCTACATGAAGGAGGATATATGAACTAAACTAACTTTATACTGGATATCAGTTTTAAAGGTCCAGTAAGAGTCATCCCTCAAGGAAGACACCTAAACTACATGTAAACTTTATTTATACTCGAGAATGGTTAGGTGTTCCCAGTTCCCACAGAAGGAAACCTAAACTAAACTTTACTTGTACTCGAGAGCTTTATCAGTTCTAATCTGTTCTATTTAGACGTCCAGACACTTCACTGTTATTTCTGCTCAGAGCTTTCAAATCGTCACAAAATATCAGAAACACAGACCGAAAGCAAATCATCACGGCAGAATGAAAAACAACCTCGCAAGAATGAAAAAGAGACCTTGTTACAAGATGATAACAACTTGTTCCAGACTTGTCAACAACTGGACACAAGCAGTGCGAACACATCTTGTTGGCAAGCTGTGAGATTATCACGAGTTACTGGACGACAGTATATAGGGTTGTACTAAAGGATTCGGAACAACTCGAGGTAAGTAATCACAATTTAAATAGTTCTTGTTAATGATGCTTGTGATGTTACTCTGAGTGTATATCCACACCGGGCAAGCTTGAAAAATATGCCTGGCCACGGTGGGAATCAAACCTACGACCTTTGGAATACTAGCCCATTGCTCTTCCAACTGAGCTACGCGGTCAGGTCTGTTCGAGTATGTGATATTTCGGAACCGAGTCTAGTTCCTTCGATATCAATGTAATATAGTAATCATGATTTTTTTTTCTGTGTTGGTGTAATGTACTCAGGTGAATAATGAATATGATGCTTGTGGATATACACTCAGAGTAACATCACAAGCATCATATTCACCTGAGTACATTACACCAACACAGAAAAAAATATCATGTTCTTGTTAATATGGAGATAAACCAGCTCACCTTTTAACAGTCTCGTGCATCTCATCGATACGTTCTTGCGGAGACTTGGTCATGCTTTGAAGAGTTTCACATATAGAAGGTCTATGACTGGAAATCTTACTCCAAGTTCGTTCCAAGGGATTTCTTAGAACGGTCACAGATTGCACAAGATCTTGACCATACACAGGCTGAGCCATACATCTTCGTTCGTTCACGGCAGCGAGGAAACGTAGTTTATGTTGGCGTGCATGGAAACGTTTCTCCTCAAGGCGTGGCTGTAATGGAAAGAGCATTATTAGCAATGGTTGTTTTCCCTTTTAAATATAGTTTATTTATGGGGGGGAGTAACATTGTATCTTTTTGCTCAGAGCTTTCAAATCGTCAAACTAAAATGTCAGAAACACGGACCGAAAGCAACTCATCACAGCAAAAGTTCGTTTCAAAATTACATTTTAACCCATATGATTAGAATTCATATATACTACTTTTGTACAGTTTTACTTCCACCTACAAAAAACTTCCACCAGTGACGTAGGAAATATTCGGGAATAGCCTGAGTGGGCGGGAGTGCTGCAAGGCGGGGCAAGCCCGCATTATAAACGCCTGCCACAACAAAGGCTAGAGGGGTAACTTGCTGAACGTCGGGTGCCAGTGTAAGCACGGTGAAGAATACCAGACTCTTCTACAGTCCCTGATTTGCAGGCGTTTGCGGGTTGGAATAATAAGACGCAAAGGCCCATGGGAATGCTCCAACGAAAGTTTTGAGAGGGGAGGGGTTCAGTCAGGAATGCATGTATGATGGAACTTCAAGAAAAATAAGAACAAACTTCACGTTTCGAGCGTAGTTCCTTCGTCTGGAAGTTAGTACAATCGTAGACAATAGACCTTTCCCCGTTTGAGTGAAATTTGTATTTCTAACGATCTTCCTTTTTTTTGGGGGGGGGGGGCAGTATTCCCCCCCACCTTTGGCAAGGTGATGCCAAACTATTAATTCAGTAACTATCAAGTACAACTTACCAATGTAAGAGGCGAAGAGCTCAAACTGAGTGCCTTGTTCGGAGTTCCTTCAGTTGCTTTCTCCGTCAGCAATTTCTTCTGTTCCAACATGGCAGCCGAGTTCACACCAACGTGGCCATTCATACTCCCATACGCTCGAACCTCACTGGTGTTCAACGTTCGCGAGGCTTTTAATAAAGTCCTGCTATTATACGGTAAACTACCCACCGGTTTCACTTCCCCGGTAACTTGCCCTAGTGGGGTCGAAAATCCGCTATCCCGTATTTCACCGAACATCGAAGAGCCAACAGTGGTGTATGTATTAGTCGTGTTCTCGGTGGAGTTAAAGGCGTTGTAATAGTCCTGTTCTGAAGGGGGTGTATACCTCTGGCCCGCGTACCCGGGGCAAAGGGTCTCAGCCTCTGGGTAGATGGGTGTGCTGTCTTTGTGTTCCTCGGAGGTAGCAGCCCATGATGGCCTCTGAAAACTAACAGGTCCGTTGGGCTTAGCGTGGTTTAACACATGTCCATTATGTGATTGTGTATTCAGTTCAGATCTCACAGGAAACAACAAGGGTGTTTCAGGCGGGGTATAGTTATCGATTTCGGTAATCAAAGCTTGCGGTGTCTGTAGTTGTCTAACACGGTGCCTCGCAAAGGCACTCAAGGAAAACTCAAGTTGAGTAAGTATTAGGTTCATAGTGTGAAAGTTGATGGTGTTTAGAGGGTTTTGATCTAAAGCTGTGAGAACAAGCGAAGCTGTAGTGTAGACTACACCGGTCATCTTTAATGAGGTCAGTGTCGGACGAGGTTCAAATAGATCAGGATGGTTACACACCTGAATAAGAAAGAACGCTCTATTTTAGCTTGATATAAATCAAGTTTGAAACTAAAGATAATGATTTACAAAGGTTCTAGGGAGAACAGTTTAGGACTGATCAAGCTATCCAGGTAGCTTAGTTTTTATATATAGAATTTGTTACCTTTCTTAACTGCATCAAAATGTTGATTACGCTCAGTAAATGTCCACTTTCAAGAGTCTCTTTCGTCCTGTTCACGAAGACAAAAAAGTTGGCATTGTTATATTTATTTATTATTTTCAATCTTTACATACGGCTTAGTCCCAACTAGCTCGAACAAACGAAAAATTAAACCAACAATTGTGGACATATAACTTGTTAATAGAATTGTAATCTGTCTCTTTAAGAGTTTACATGTTGCCCCTGACAGGATCCATTAGAACTATAGGAAAGTTTTCTAATAGGTTTTAAGGAGCATTTTGTTCTCTGGCTATCTGACATGACTTGAAGAAATAGAAGTCCTTCAATCCAAAGCCTCAACAGAATAGCCAATGTTCCTAATACATAATCTTTTCACGTAGAAACAAAAGCAACAGCAAGGAATGGAAAGGCGCGTATGTAGACACCAGGGGCCTGGTAGCTAGTTAAAAAGTTGACCAATCAATATCGCGTATTTTGAAGTTAACTTTTATTTAACTCTGTCACAGAGTAGAGACATACAGAGACGTAACTAGTGTACCCACTTTTTTTGTGCGCATGCTCGGCAAGTCACTAGATGTATGCATCTGATTGGATGACGACCTGATGACGACTCACTTTAAACTTGCTGAGCACGCGCAGTTGATCATTTTTCGCCCGATCGCCTGAAAAAAAGTGGGTACATGATAACGTAATCTTCCGCAGTGTTTACAACGGTCAGTTACGTCTCTGTATGTCTTATCTACTCTGTGACTCCGTAAAATAGCGGTTAACAGCCCATTAAAGCCCACTGGACAAAAGGCCCATTTCCATTCAGGAACATTTTCCGCAGAAAAAAAATTTGTAAAATGCGATTGGCCGGACACAAATTTTCCGTCTGAAAAAAATTTTTTCAAGTTGAAAATTTTGATATTTTCGCAGCAAAAATATTACTCGTGTATCCGAAGCTTAAGAGCTTTACCTTGTTTGCGACATGAAGTCATCATACAGGACACGCTGACGTTTAGACAGTCTGCATCTGATGACATGTTCGTATTTCTGCGGCATTTGTTTTTCCACTTCAGATTTTAAACGTCGCAGTAAGAACGGTCTTAACACCTGAATTTCAATCAAACAAAACAACGAATGAGCCACATTTCAATTGCGTACGATACAAAACAGCCATGGAATTACCAGGGGTGGAAAAAAAAATTTTCTTTCTGGGAACCTGAGTCGAAGGCTAGACATTTTCTGTAAAATTTGTAATGTTTCAATTACAAAAATAACAAAACAAATGCATAATTATTGTATTATTTGTACTTTAGTAATAATAGGCTTCAGGCTGGTTTTCGTATGCTAGTACATCGCAATAGTTGTCTGTTATATACCACAGTTATGAGTTATGACCAACTAGTAGGGATCTAATGCTTAACATGCTTAATCATCTTATAGATAAAATGCTTAATCATCTTATTTATTCCATCACTTTTATTTGTTTACTATTTAATTTGCATTTTATTGGAGACTTTGCAGAGCATATATTTACCATTTTACCTCATTGTGATGGCAGGGGTGGGTAAAAGAATTAATTTCTGTATATTGCGTGTACAGTGTAAACAAAGTAGAATAGTCGTAACTTGTAAGTTGAGTAAACAGAGTTATCTCAAAATGTTGAAATATTTCTGGAAAATTTTCTGCAAAACTCTCAACTCAAAAAAATTTCTGGGAATTAAGTTCCCAGGTTCCGATACTTTTTCCACCCCTGGCCGATTTACTGAATAAGTTCTACGAGATAAACCCACAATTCACCTTATGCAGTCGTTTCACAAGATTTTCATTGTACTCGCTGCTTCCCTCGATCATACCAGACAGTGGGTTTGAGAACCAATCTTTGAAATCTTTATGCGATTCAAAGAGATGAGGCATCAGGAAATGCATAAGAGACCACAGTTCCATCAAGTTGTTCTGCAGTGGGGTGCCAGTCAGCAAGAGGCGACGTTCAGTGTTGAAGTTGAGCAGGTACTGCCAGCGTTGAGATTTGAAATTCTTGATGTTCTGAGCCTAGGGATTACGACAAACAATAGAATCACATAGCTCAAATTCTTGTTTAAGCTGGAGTTACATGAGCAACAAAATTGCTGCAACTTGCAACGAAATCTGATTTCAACGCATGTTAAGTAGAAATGTCGACACATGTTGCCTTGTGATTTGTAATTTCTGTGTAAACATTTTCAATTAACATGCGTTGAAATCAGATTTTGTTGCAAGTTGCAGCAATTTTGTTGCTCGTGTAACTCCCAGCTTTACCTTTGTTCTATTGTATAAAGCTTATACATCATGCCTGTAGTTTGGCTTTTGCGGAGGTAATCGATGCAAGTAGGCACGCAGGCTGCTCCATTTACTGTTCGGAGTAATTCGGATTTTCGGAACACTAATAAATTCGAAGCGAACATGTGACGGTCACATGACTGTTCAGCGGTTCGCCATCAAAATTCACTCGCAATGTTCCTAGCCAGTGCGCTTGCAAGAGCCATTCACTCCCCCCTGAACGTCCACCAGTTTGAATATTTTCAGGGGGGTGAATGCCTCTCGTAAGCACACTGGCTAGAAACATGGTGACAGCATTGCAGCATCGAATATTGTGATAATTTTCTAGACGATAATCATAAGATTTTTCAAAATTTTCTAGTAGAAAACCTACCTCATCTAAGATCAAGTACTTCCATTTCTTCCTGCGAAATGATTGATGATCTTGAACAACAAGTTTGTACGAAGTGATACAAACATGAAACGCATTCGGCTTTGTCCAACCCTGGAAATAGAAATATGTTACATGGCCCTGTTTCTTGTGCAATTTCCAGTTGAGATTTAAAGTTGGATTTTGCTACATGTTGCTCTTGACAGGATCCATTAGAACTAGAGGAAAGTTTTCCAATGGGTTTTAAAGAGCATTTTGTTCTCTGGCTATCTGACATGACTTGAAGAAATAGAGATCCAACAAGCCTAGCCTCAACAGAATAGCCAACATACATTAACCGTGATAAAGGGTAAATGTTTTATGACAAGCTTTACGGAGGCTGTTTCGTCAAGCACATATGTGAGATTGACTCCACCAAACACCGTGAAACTCTTTCGAGTACTTTATAGTTCTTCCTGTGGTATTATGGAGCGTCTTGTCGTCAGATTGGGGGGGGGGGGGGAGACTGAATTAATTAACTTCACTAACTCTATGTGATAGTTTAGAACTGATTGGGATTTCTAGTTTTTAGTTTATTTTAGACATCTTTCTATACCAACACTGGATCAATAAGCGACTGTCCTCACTGGACCTCCAAGAAGAACACTATTTTTTCTGCCTCGTACCCAGGCGTCTCTTTGTGAAAAAACTGTGATGCGCATATGACGAGTTTACATGAAGTATTGTAGTGGGGACAGATGGTGAAGGGAATACTTCATGTATTGTAATTATTTAAAGCGCCTGGGTCATAGATATCTTATATACACTAGATAGTGCATCTAATTATTCTGGAATTCAAAAATTGAAGCCGTGATTGCAGTCTCAGGTCGTTCCCATAAAATGAGGAGATTCGTATGTTCTCTATTTCATAAACCGGGAACTTAAACATTAAGTTAACCCTATTCCAAATACGTTTTTAAACTTTTCAAATGATGAAAGTTCAGTGTTGTTTTTAAGCGTTTATTAGCGAGTGGGAACGACCAACATGGCCGCCATCTATTCAAATGGGGGTAACCGCTGGACTTTTCTTGGCTTCAATTTTACTAAAAGAGATGCGCTATCTAGTGTATATAAGATATCTATGGCCTGGGTACGAGGCAGCTATTTTTTTTGAAGTTACATGATACCGAATTTGCTTGACATGACATCAAATTTAACGGTTTCATGAATATCTTAAGGGGGGAGTATACCTTATACACCTTCAAAATATTGAAAAAAAATTTTTGTTACTAAAATCATCTTTAGGTTCTAAAGAAACATATACGAATCAAAACGGGCCTGTTTGAGCTTTCTTTTTTGAAAATATAAGCTTTTTTCTGAAGGACATTGAAATATTGAATCTCGTTGCCATGGAAACGAGATCATATTTCGTCATTTCGGTTGTCCTTTCTCTCTTGCTTTTGGATGATTTGAAAGAAAATTTGAATATTTTTGCGGTCTGGTGAATCAAGAGACTGGTGACGAGTTTAAGGCCTGGTTACCCAGCAATTTACGCACATTTTGTTCAGCGAAGCTCACACTTCCAAAATACAAACTTGCTGTCGACAATAAATCTGATTTTAATACTATATACTTTGCTTTATTACATATATATTTTGCTGGAGATTGTTTTTGGAGGTTTTATTTATTTGTTCATGCTGAAAGTATCGAAAAAGAAGCGATTTCGAGGCAAAAATCGCTGGAATGTCGAGGGTACAAGTTCGTGTGAACACGTGATGATGAACATATTTTGATTTTTGAACAATGCTCAACAGCCTCAAGTACAGGGAAAACTACTCCTGCAAGAGAAACTGCATCCATACGAAAGTTTTGTAATCAAGCTGCTGGTAACAGTGATGATTTGGAGAATTCTTTCAGCTATAGACTGATAGAATTGTCAAGTTTGATGAGTGTATTCCAGCCCTTACACTAATTATGCCAGGCTGGGGGAAGAGTAGCCTCCTGCGCAGACGTTGTTAGTGGCCCGAGGCCTCACCTAACGTCTGCTCACATTCGCTATGCATTTGACTTCCCGGCAATTGACCAATCACAATTATCTACACGATAATTGGAAGATCGACCTTCAATGACCTTCACATG